GATATATTCCTGATAGAATTATCTGTGCCTCCCAAGAGTTCCTTGCTTCATGGCACAGTCCCAAGAAGCTTCCCTTACAAAACCCCCTACTGTGGATACGATCCAAGGGTCTGTCCTAGGCCCACTTCTCTCGGTGACCCTGTCAGTTCTCTAAGTTTTAATTAGTATGTAGACGACTCAGATTCACATATCCATCCTAAGTCTGAGCTCCAGGCCCATTTTATCAACCGCCTACAGGACATTTCCAAATGGATGTCCCCAAAGCATCTCAAACTCAACATGGACAAAACCGATCCTCCTTTCTTCCCCTCTATCAACATCTCTGCTTCCATGGGAGCCATGCTACTTTTCTAGGCTCTCAGATCCACAACTTCGGTATCACCTCAACTTCTCACTCCAATCAGTCGCCATATCTAGGAATCTCCACCTTCACAACGCTTGTGCCAACTGACCCCCTTCTCTCTACTCATACAGCCCACGTCTTAGTTCAGGCGCTCACCGGCTCTCACGTAGACAGCTGCAACGGTCTGCCTGTCCCAGGTCTCTTCCACCCCCCAATCCATGTTCCATGCTGTCAACGTGACTTTACATGAGTGAAAATCTGACTATGTCAATAAGCTCGAGTGGTTCCCCATTGCCTCGAACATAAACTATAACTCCCTGTTTGTTTTTAAAGCCCTGTAGAACCTGATCTTAATCTAGCTTTCCAGCCTCATTATACATCATTTCCCTTAGTGAATAACACAACCAGACTGGACTTCTCTGTATTATGTACACAGAGCAGTTCATCTCTCATCTCCAGGCCTTTGCACCGGCTGTCCCTGCTACCTGGAATGCACTTCCTCCTCACCTCCCACCTCCCAGTATGTTCCACTTTCTTCATGACAAAGCCTTTCCTCATCCCCCCTTCTACAACTGCCCTCCATCTCTACCTCATGTCCACACTGTATGTATTTATTTTGCACATACTTATATATGTATATGTTGTCTCCCCTGATGGATTAGAGGCTCCCTGAAAGCAGGAATTGTTTCATTTTTGTGTCTTTGTATCCCTTAGTGCCTAGCATATTGACTGGCATGCAATAGGTGCTTAATAATTGCTTGCTAATTGATTGACTGCCTGACACCCTCTTTTTCACTCATGCATTTCCCTGCTGACATCCCTTATTGTAGGTGTTAAAATCCGGTGAATTATTTCCCTCAGATCACAAACCTTGTCCACCGTGCCTTCAGCTTTGACGTCGGCCTTTTCCGCTCCCTGGGTGCCAGGCAGAGCGCTGGACTTAGAGTCAGAAAAACCGAGTTTGAATCCTGTCTCAGACATTAGATTTGTGGACATGGGCAAGATGCTTAATTCTTAGGGGCAGTTAGGTGGTGCAGTGGATACAGCACCGGCCCTGGATTCAGGAGGACATGAGTTCAAATCTGGCCTCAGTCACATAACACTTACTAGCTGTGTGACCCTAGGCAAGTCACTTAACCCCATTGCTTCACTCCCCCTCAAAAAAAGGAGATGCTTAATCCTTCTCAGCTTTGGTTTCTTCAATTATGAAATGGGGATAATTATAGCCCCTACCTCACAAGGTTGCTCTGAGGATCAAAGGTGATGCTTGCTTTGCAAACCTTACAACAGTATGTAAATGTCAGGATTTATTGTTATTGTTGTTACACGCTGGGTTAGTTTGTTATTGTATAAATCTGGCACAGATATTTAGCGATCTAGCCATCACGTGCCTGCCTACCCTTCAAAAGCTCTGAGAACTGATCGTAGTATCAACAGACTCAGTCCTCTGAGCTTTAATCCAGATGTCACTAACGACACACTGACGCACTCTTAAAAGTGAAGGGGAAGGCTGATTCGTCCACTCTTCCACTTAGTTTGCAATAAAGAAACCAAACCATGCCTTGATTTGGACCTTTAAGAAGTGGGAGAGTCCAGTGATGTTATTGGGCAGTCACCGTCCACATTTCATGGGCCTGATTAAAATGCAGAAGAGTCAACTGGTGGAGCAGACTAGAAAGGCCAGAAACCAAATCCATCAGCATGGTCATCCAGGGCTTTGGCAAACCAAAGCACCTCAATTCCTGGAGGCGAAAGTCCTTTGTTGATAGGAACTGCTGATAAAACCAGAAAGCAGTCGGGTAGAGAGTAGACTTAGGCCCTGTACCTTTCACTGTGAGGACCAGGGGAAGAACTTTTATCCAAACAAGGATGGAGGAAATCAGAAGAGACAGAAAGACAGTTCTGACTGCATAAAATCGGAAATGGTTTGCATGATAAAATCAAGGACTAAACGAGAAGTGAAATGGTAGAGGGGAAACAACATTTTTACTAGTTATCACCAAGAAAAGCCTGATGTTCAACATAATGGGAATTCACACAAATTCAGGACATCAAGAACCATTCCCCAACAGATAAGTAATCAAAGGATATGAATAGTTTTCAAAAGGAGAATTTCAAACTATAAATGACTACATGAGAACCCATTCCCAATCACTGACAGGAAGAGAAATATATTTGCACAGTTAAAACTCAGGTTTCATGTTGCACCCTGCCAACTGGCAGTGATGAAAAAGAAGAGAAAAGGATGTTCTAACAAATTCTAGAGACATGCCTATCTCCTGGGATGCAGACAGTTCCAGTGTCCTGAGAAATCTGGGCAAGGTGTCAGAGCTGGACTCCCTCTGTCCAAAAATCTAGTAAGCCACAATGTAAGGCCACTTAGGTGAGGCTGCAAATGACAGTAATTGGAATTTCTGGGCCGCAGTGACAACTGGCATGGTGATAAAAACAGGGCAGGGGCAAGTTCAATGGCCAGGTATCACCTGCTCCCTTATGCTTTTTTTCCTAGAGGTGAGGGTTTTAAAAGGTCTCAGTGTGGTACAATGGGCCAGAGGACCTGGGTTCAAATACTGCTTTTATTACTTATTCCCTATACACCCACTGGCAAGTGCCCTAGCTTCTACAAGCCTCAGACTCCCCATCTGTAAAATGGGGGTTTTGGACAAGAGGCGGATCTTCTGAAGACCTTTGGTCCTAAAGCCATTAGAAGACATGACAGCCAGAAACCAAAGCCCCAATTTTCAATTGTTTCAATTGTTAATTTCAAAATTAAAATGATTGTCAAATCAACTACTACAAAATTTAAAATAATTTCATATTCAAGTCAATGCAACAAGGATTTAGTAAATGCCTTTTTTATGTAAGTGGTCAGAATACAAAAGCCCCAAACCAATCAGTGCATGAAAAAGAGCCAGAAAAAGTGCATGATCTCAAGGAGAAGTGGTTTAAACAGGCCCTGTGATTTCACTGGTAAAAGGACTCAGTAAGGACACTCACATTGCCAATACAGATCTACAATTCATCAACTTAGAGAAATGCCTGGAACCATGGGAGGGTAAGGGACTTGGCCAGGGTCACACTGGACCAATAAGTCAGCAGTAGGATTTGAATCCAGGTCCTCCTGACCCTGGGGCTAATATGAAACTGCCCATCCCTTACAAGTATGTCCAGCCATGGCCTGAGGACTTTCAAGCAGGGGAACTCACTACCTTCCTGGGCAGTCCACTCCACTCTGGGGCCACTCTAATTGTCTGGAAGCTTTTCCTGACTTCAGGACTAACCTGGCCTCTGTGGAACTTCACCCTCTGCTCGTGGTTCTGCCCTCTGGGACCCACAGAAGTGAGTCTAATTCCTTCTCCACCATACGGCAGCCCTTCAAATAACTGAAGATACTAGCATGCCCTCTTCACTAGGCTGACCATTCCCAGTCCCTTGACGGCCAACAGGGCCTTCCCCATCCTGGCTGCCCTCCTCTGGGCACTTTTCAATTGATCAATCATGGCCTCCAGGAATGAAGAGGAAGCTCTGACCTGGGCAGACAATGGGGCCATTACCTCCCACTCCTGGAAGCTGTGCCCCATTTAATGCAGCCCAAATCTGCATGTTTTGGGTGACACATCACCCTACCAATTTACTGAGCAAGCAGACCATTAACTCCACCCCCAATCTCTCTCAGAACAATCGTTGTCTTTATCCACCCCTCCCCTTCTTGTATCTAGGAAGTTACCCTGATGTCCTCCCCAGAAAGACTTCGCGTTTATCTATTGAAAGCGGTGGGGTGACAAGCCATGGAGACTGGGCTGTGGAGAGATCTCCTGCTCAGTATGGGCCGCACTAAATTCTCTTGAGACCTTAAAATTCCCTTTTCTGTGAAAGTCTTGCCTTTCCAATCACTCATCACATGATACTGTTTGCAGTGTTGTCCACAATAGCTTCCTTACCTCCCTCCTACAAGATTGTGAGCACCATTAAGCTTCGTCTCCCCCTCCCCAAGCCCCTGGCACCCTGCTCCACACACAGCAGGGCCTTGTTGGGTGAGTCACGGAATGCTGCACGTCACCGCTGACTCCGTGACATTGACATTCTATTTATGTAAATGACAGGGGATGCCTCCCACTGGATGGAGCTCCCCGGGGGCGGGGACTGAAGGTCACGGGGTCCCTTCCAGGTCCAAATCTAGACCCTGCGCTGGAAACTTAGGGTAGAGCTAGGGAGCCGCGCACATGCGCACTTAGTCAATGCATGCAGGGCAGCAATCGCGGATTAAGAAATTACTGAAATTTAAGTCCTTGCAATTCCAGGGGAGGGGTCGGCTGTCAGGGCCCACTACGGTGAACATGATCGCATCTCGAGGGAGGCATACAAGGTGGAACGACGCCGGCTTGGGGGGGGGTGGAGGATCTGAGTTCGAACGCTGACCCTCCCCTCCCTGCATGAGCTTGGGGAGTCATCTCACTCTGGACCTCAGTATGCTCAGATGTAAAATGGGCTCGATGTGAGCTCCTCCCCCTCCCAGACCACCCACGGCCGAGGCTGGCTGAACGGCCGCCCGAGAAGCACTCGGAAGGTGCTGCTCCCCCCAGTCCCGCCCCCATCACGTGGTCCTCCTCAGGGCGCGCAGCGGACGCACAGAAACGACCGTCTTCGCGACTCTTACTCATCGTCGCTGCCGCTGCCGGAGAAGTACGACGAGCCTCGGCTCCCGCCGTCGCCGCTCTCCCCGCTCTCGGCTTCCTCCACCTCCGGCGGGGCGGGAGCGCCCCCTACCCGGGCCGCGGCCGCCCCATCCTCCGTACTCCCCGCGGGCAACGGCGCGGCCTGCCCGTGCAGCCCGTCAGGACGGGCCGCGGAGGTGCTCCCGCCCGACATTTCTGGGAACCCAGGCCGAGAACGGGCTGAGGGCGGGGCCCCGGGCCACGTGGGCACAGCCAGCTGTTTCTATTGGCTGCTGTGAGGTCGCCTAGGAGACGGCGAAGCTTCCAGGTTCTGGAGGGAAAGAGGGGAGAGGAGAGAGGGCTGGAGGGAAGGGAGGAGGGGGAGGGGGAAGGTAGACGGGGACAAGGAGAGGGGGAGAGGAGGGAGAGGAAGAGAAGGGAGTAGGGGAAGGAGGCAATGTGATGCAGTTGAAGAGGCACAGTTGGAAGTCAGGAGAGATCTAGATTCATTTTCTGACTCTGCTACTTAAAACCCGTGTGACCTTGGGCAAGTCCCTTTACCTGGCAGTGCCTCACTTTCCTCATCTGTAAAATGAGGGGTTTGGACTAGAAGGGGAAAACCAAGAAAGGGTAGCCCCTTCGGAGGGACACCGGGGATGGTGCTCCTTTCTCCCCCCGCCCTCTGCCCTTTGTCTCCCCGACGTTCTTAGCACATTCTGAGAAAGAACGGGGCTTCGGACAAGTGACCGGCCAGTTTGGGCTTGAAAGTGCCCTCCGAGACCATCTAGTCTGATCCGGAGCTTATGGTCCACGAGTGCCAGTGCTCCTGGATGCCTGAGCTGCAGAGAGCAGGCTAGCATGGTGGGGTAGTAGAACAGACAGTGGACAGTCATCTTCATCATCAAGGATAACTGCTCACATTTCTATGTCACTTTACCATTTACAAAGTGCTGGCTTTCCTTACAGGCACCTTATGACGTAGTCAGAAGTTCCTGGACTTGCCCCTTCAGCTCGGCAGTCATTTATTGAGTGCTTACTGTGTGCTAGGTGAGTGGTGTACAAAGACAGAACAGTCCCTGCTTTCAAAGAGCTTCTGTCTTATTGGGGAGACAGAGAGGTAACATGTACTCGCACATGCATAGGAATACAATAGGCACCAAGTAAACAGACTTCTCAGCTGCTAGGTCACCTGTTAGCTGTTTGACCGTGGGCCTGCTGTTCACAGCCTAGGACCATAGGATTTGCACGGTAGAGGGTGTTTGTTAGTCCGGATGTTAGGGAGAGGTTACAGTCTCTCCTGTGGAGATTGCTCTGTTTCCAATCTGTCCTCTTGACTTTTCCCTCCCAAACCCAGGAGTGGGATCATAGTGGGGTACCCCGGGGGGCCCCCTTCCCTTGACTTGCACTCTCACAAGGCAGGTTCCTCAGAGGATGATTGTGCCAGGTTCAAGATACACCTAGGATTACAGTTCCCACCCAGTGGGTTTACGTCTCAATGATCATCCAGTTAGGATGAAACAAAGGCATTTCCTGGAATAGCAGAGTAAGATTTATGATAATTTAGGGCACACGTCCACACAAGTATACACACTACCCAAGTACAGATCGAATGCACGAGCACACGTAGGGAATGTTGTCTCTCCTGCTTTCCCTGTACTGCCCCTCCGCTGGGCCCTTCCTCTGCTGGCCATGTGGCCCTAGGGGTTGGCTTTGGTCTGCACCATCTCCAGCCTCCGGCTCAGCAGAAGGCCTTGCCTGGGACACTGCTGGGAGCTTTCCGAATGAATTAGAACCCTTACCCTTGGACAAATAGGAAGCTCTAAGGCCTGCCTTCCCTGAGCCCCAGATCAGGTGCCTAGGAGGCTAGAAAGGGTGGGGCTCAGGCAAGTCACTTGACCCCATTGCCTAGCCAAAAAAAAAAAAAAGAGACAGCCCAAGAGCTCAGTCCTTCCTCTATTGCTGATTCCAGAAGAGTTGATTAACTCTTCAATTGACTCAAGGGTCCATTTCTCAGTTTTAAAAGTCTCAATCTTTGCTGTTCACCCAAGTCAATGAATAGACAAAGAAAGACATACTATCAAAGCAGTCGGCACCCAGTAGCCAGTCCATTGTCTCCGACAAGCATCAGATCATAGATTTTGACCTGGAGGGGGGCTCAAAGGCCATGGAGCCCAACCCTCTCATTTTACAGATGAGTAAACTGAGGCCCAGGGAATTTGTGACCTACCCAAGTCACACAGGTAGTGAGAGTCATAATTTGAACAAAAGTCCCTTGACTCCAAAGCCGCCTCCTTTTAGTGGAAGACTTTCTCAGTGATTACATTCAAAGAGTTCCCCCTCCTCATCCTGAGCTCGTGGGCTGATTAAACTAACTCTTCCACGTGAAGACCTCCCCAAATTCAATAAACTCAGAATTTCTCTCCAGTGTTCTCTGATGTACAGTGAGGAGACATTTGTCACAGAAGGCTTTCCTGTACTCATCACATTCAAAGGATTTCTTTCCAATGTGAGATAAGTGATAACCTCATGCTGAAAATTTCTATACATTCATTATACTCAAAGGGTTTTTCTATGGAGTGAATGATTTGATGTGCATTAAGTTTATACCTCCACCTAAAAGGCTTTGCTCCATTTATTACACTCAAATCCTCAGCCTCATGTCCTGATTTTTCATATACGAGTGACCATTCGAAGACTAATATCCTGTAATTTCATAAAGTGGATTGTGGGGATTATTTTGATGGGTGGTTAGGGGAGCTGATCAACGTCACACCAACAGGGTCATATATTTAGAGCTACACGTGACTTCAGTGGTTCTCATGAATAATCCCCTTATTTTACAGATGAGGAAGTTGAGGTAGAGAGGTGAGGTGAGAGCTGGTGTTCAAATGCAAATTGCCTTCATTTTCAAGGCTTTTTGCTCGCAACCTCACAAGGTTGTTGTGAGGATCAAATAAGACACTATTTTAAAATCCTTAGTATAGTACCTGGCATATGGTAAGTGCTATTTTTTTTTTGTTTAGTCATTTTCAGTTGTGTCTGATTCTTCATGGCCCCTTTTGGGGTTTTCTTGGCAAAGGTACTGGAGTGGTTTGCCATTTCCTTCTCTAGCTCCTTTGATAGATGAGGAAACTGAGGCAAATGGGGCTAAGTGACTTGCCCAGGGTCACACAGCTAGTAAGTGTCTGAGGCTGGATTTGACCTCAGATGCTCCTGACTGGAGGCCTGGTGCTCTATCCACTGTACCACTTAGTTGCCCTGGGTGCTATATAAAGGTTAACTATTGATGATGATGGTGATGATGATGATGATGTAGGTGTTTACACTGCTCAGAAGGAAAGAAACGATTAACTGGAAAAAAAAATCTAATATCTCTCCCAGAATAGAATGAACTGCCTCAGGGAAGAGTGAGTCACTACGGGATGGCCATTAATTAGGGAGGTTTTCAGTGGGTAAGGACTGGACTAAATGGTCTTTTCAATTCCCCAGAGCTCTGGGACTCTCTTCCCACTCTCCCATTTTACAGATTAGAAAAACAAGGCCCAGAAGAGAGAAGTGACTTGGCCTGGATTCAGAGTCTCTAACTGTCGTACTACGGAATAATAACTGGCTGCAGTCCTGTCCAGATTCCTCAGGTGAGTAGAATCAGGGGTTCTTAGTCTTTTGGGTGCCATGGGCCCCTTTGGCAGTCCAGGGAAGCCTATGGACCCCTTCTCAGAACTGTGTTTTTAAATTCATAAAATACATAAGATCATACAAAGGAAACAGCCTAATTAGATTCAAATACAATTAACGATATTTAAAAAGTTAAAACCCCAGGTTAAGAACTCCTGGATTAGATGATACCTAAGGACCCTTTCAGCTCTTGACTTCTAAGATTCAGTCATTGACTCTGTTTTCTTTTTCTGTTCAGGCATCCCAAGGTGGCAGCCTCTTCGTCCTCATCCCTTCCACTCTGCTTCAAGGTCTTTGAACAAAGAGTTGAAGGGCCTGACCCTCTAGCTGAATAAACACCTCACCTAACCCTGTGTGACCCTCAGTTTTCTCATCTGCAAAATGGGAAGAATAATAAATGCACTGGTTAATCTCTGAGGCTTGCATCAAGGAGGAAGGTGCTTTGTAGATGTCAGAGTGCTATAGATATGTGAATGAAAATGAGGTGCCCTGTCGTATTCCAGCTGCAAAGAATTCACTCCATGTGGGTCAGGGAAAGCTGCTCTTTATAGCCCTGGTAGGAGGTGGGAGTTTGAGCATCACTCAGAAACCCCGCGTGCGGCCAGCACAGCTTGCTGGGTGTTGGCGACAGACAGTTCTATCCACAGATGTACACGCTGCCGGCACTTGAAAAGGGCAGTCCAGTTTTATGTGTATTTTGCTTCTAAAATAGACACTTCAAAACGGCTTGCTAAGAGCAGACTGATCTCTCCCAGAGGGAGTTTTAAATCATAGTGGATAAAATAGTGAAGAAACAGCCTCCTTCTTCCCCTGTCAATCAATAAACATTTATTAAGCACCTGCTACGTGCCAGATGCTGTTCCAGGCACTGGGGAGAGAAGCACAAAGTAGTAACAATAGCTAATATTTATAGAGTGCTTACTGTGTGCCAGGCACTGTGCGAAGTACTTTACAGCCTTGGGACTTGTGATTGCTGTTACTAATGGAGGAGGTGCTAGCAGCTGGTGGGGATCAGGAAAGATGGCAATGCAGGAAGAATTGACTTTAGACTAATTCTAAGAATCAAAGGTGAGGAGGGAGTGCAACCCAGACATGGCGGGCAGCCTGGGCAAAGTCCCAGAGACAGGAATGTCTTCTCAGGGACAGCAAATGGGTCTGTGTGGCTGGCTTGTAGAGTATCTGTGCGGTTAGACTGGGAAGGCTTTAAATGCCTAGCCGGGGAGTCTTCATTTAGTCCTGGAGGCAAACACATGTAGCACCCCCTCTGGACTCCTCCTCCAAGTGGCACTGGGGAGTTTAGCCTTTCCCTTTGGCCACTCTTCCTGAGTCAAGGCTGGATCTTTTCATTAAGAGACCTCACTCTAACTTATGGTGACCATCTACTACATTCATCTCTCTAGGCTAGGCCCTACCTAGGTGATGGTCGTTTGCCCAATAATTACCAGATAAGTCTAAGGTTCAGAGTTCTCTAATTTTTTTTAAACTCTAAGGTTTTCCTGTTGATTTTTGCAAATAAGGTCATAGAGAAAAGGTAGAGAAGCAATTTCTGCCCTGGAGACAAGTTCATTGCCTCTGCTGGTCTTTACATATGCTTTGCCTCTGCTCTTCATTAAACCTAATCCTTTCTCTGTTGAGAACAATATCCTAGGAACCATCCTTGAACCTTAATAGGCCTAGGGCACTAATGCTCAAACCACTGACATAGCTTCCTGATGGTCTAAGTACAAGAGCCAGAAGAAGAGGGTCAGGGGTTCTTCTCCCAGGTTTCTGACTGTCAGACCCAGCGTGGCCAACACAGAGGCGACAAAGGGCTCCGACTGAATTGATGCTGTGTTCTTGCTGACAATCCTTTCCATGTTCTAGCTAACTGTACTCCCTTTTGTTAAGTATTAGGTGGTCTGTGTGTCTGTTTCATTCCAACTCACACTAGAAGCACCGGATGGGCCTAAATCAGGCCTGTCACATGACACGTGTCCTTGATCTCATCCCCTCTTGTGTCCGCCATGAGCTGGCACCAGGAGTCATTCCTTTCCCCTTATGTACCTTCAGTCTCTCCCTTTTTGCTGGCTTCTTCCCATCTGCTTAAAAACCTTTTCTTTCTTTCTTTCTTTCTTTCTTTCTTTCTTTCTTTCTTTCTTTCTTTCTTTCTTTCTTCCTTCCTTCCTTCCTTCCTTCCTTCCTTCCTTCCTTCCTTCCTTCCTTCCTTCCTTCCTTCCTTCCTTCCTTTCTTTCTTTCTTTCTTTCTTTCTTTCTTTCTTTCTTTCTTTCTTTCTTTCTTTCTTTCTCCCTTTCTCCTTTCTTTCTCCTTTCTCCCTTCCTCCCTTCCTTCCTCCCTTCCTTCCTTCCTTCCTTCCTTCCTTCCTTCCTTCCTTCCTTCCTTCCTTCTATTTATTTATCCATTCGCTCATGTTCATATTTATTTACTTAGCTTTTTAGCTATTTGTTCACCCATCCCCAATCCTCAAAAGGCCTTCCCTTGACCTTTCTGAGATGCCTAAGCCATTGGTCCATCTTTCTTGTCCCCTTCACTGCTAATCTTTTCGAAAAAGTTGTCTATACCCCCGGCTCCACTGCTTATCTCTTCACAATGTCCTCAGTCCTTTGCAATCTGATTTTAGTCCTCATTTCTTGCTTTACAGAAATTGACCTCTAAGTTGCGAGATCATAGATTTAGAAATGGAGGGTAATTTAGAGACCTAGGCTAGGAGACTGCTTGACACTTTCATTGGTGACTTAGGGGGCATGCTTTTGGCCCAGATGAGGAAACTGACACCCATCCTGTAAAGATCAACTCAAAGGATATTTCCTCCCCTAACCCTTCCCTGATGATTTCTGGTCAATAATGATCTTCTCCACATAGCAGTCTGCACACAGCACTTTGTTTTACTGTTCTCTGATGCTAAGAGCAATACAGTACAGTGCACTACAAAATAATACATGATTTCTGTATTTGTATTATATCCTTCTGCTCATCTTATGAGTTCCAGGAGGGCAGGGTCTAGCTATTTTATAAACTTTTGATTTCCCACAGTACCTAGCACAGTAATCTACACAAAATACATACTTAATAAATGTTTGTGAATGAATGCATGAATGAACATAAAATACGAAAGAAAGGATGAAGAGGTGAAACAGAAATCTGTACTGGTCCACTGCTAAAATCTGGCTTAATGTTAGTCTTTGGCTACTTGGAAGATCTTTCATAATTAAAAGAAATCATGATTAGTTATAGTACCTCTAGACTATTACTAGGGAGCTAATGTCTTTTTTCTTTTATTCATTCTTTCTTTTTCTTTCCTCTCTCCTTCCATTTCTTTTTCTTTCGTTCTTTCTCTTCTCTCCCTCCTTCCTCCTTTCTTTCTTGCTTTCCTTCTTTCTTCCCTCCCCTTCCCCCTCTTTCTTTTCATTTATCTATCCATTCATTCATTTTCATATTTATTTACTTAACTTTTTAGCCATTTGTTCATTCATTCATTCGCATATTTATTAACTGATAATCTATTTATTTATTAAATCAGTTCTCTTCCACTGCTTCATGGTGGTATGGAGGTGACCTTGGGGTCACAAGGGTTGTAAGCTCTGACTCTGCCAATCTGGAAAGACTTCAAGCATGAGCTTACTTTTGAACTTTATGTCTCTTGTGGCCTATAACAACTACCAACAAAAAAGAAGACTGAGAATAGAGGATCTCACTTCTTGCAAGTTTGGAGGGCAAGGGGAATTTTGTAGTCACCTACAGAGGATGCAGCATGTTTGTCTTTTTTCCATGGCTTGTTGTTCAGACCACTTGGCTTAGAAGAGTAGGTAAACAGAAGTTTTCTTCCCCTCTCCAGGTTATCAGGCAGGCTTAAGTGTTCCTTTAAAATTGGAAGAATGGCTTTGAGGTAGTAAAAGAGAGAAAAGGGTTTTGAAGATATTGAGGGTACAATATAACAAGAAACAGAAAGAGAAGAAAAGACATTGGACACAGGGAGTTATATCATGGATAGGGAGTTATTCTGGTAGAGGAACATGCTGGGTGCTGTGAAGAGGATCAAGTTGCTTATGTTCCAAGGAAGGAAGATGTGAACCCCAAGAGTGGCTGGCAGAAGAGAGATTGTTCAGTATGGGTCAGAGGAGAGGAGATGAGTAGTGGTGCTTTCTGTCTACCTGCTGTCAATCAACCATTAACATTAGAGAGGTCTGCTGTCTTTCCAGAGTATGAATCTAGGTGAGTTAGAGAAACTCCCGAGACTAATCAAATCTGATGTGTACTGCCCACTTCAGGGGACTCACATGGGTTCAAATGGCACCTCAAGAAGAACTCTGCATGGTACTGGATTCCATCCATGGGGAAATGGCTGAGCAAATTGTGGCATGCGAATGTAATGGGATATTGTTGCACTATAAGAAATGATGGAAAAAAAAAGAAATGATGGAGACGATTTCAGAGAAAGCTCAGAAGACTTGTATGAAATGATGCAGAATGAAGTGAGCAGAACCATGACAATAAAGTGTATTATAACAACACCATAAAACATCTTTGAAAGACTTAAGAACTCTGACTGATGTAGTGGCCAACCGTGATTCCAGAGTACTAATGATGAAGCATACTGTCCACCTCTAGAAAGAGAAGTGACGGGTTCAAGATGCAGAGTAAGCCATATGTTTTTGGACGTGGCAAATAAGGGAATTCATTTGGCTTGACCATGTTTATTTGTTATGAGGGTTTTTTTAATCATCTGGGGAAAGTGGAGTTGGGAGAGAGAAAATACATACTTAGTAATTGAAAAAAAAGTTCAAAAGGGTGCTAGATTTGCAACCAGAGGGCCTGAGTTCAGATCCTATGACACTATTTGTATGACTTTGGGTGTGTTCCTTAAAAATAGTGGTAAGTGCCTCTTTTATATCTATCATTTGAAGACAAAGACATTCTTGATTACTCTCCTCTGAATGTTCTCTTATTGACATCCTTTCTAAAATGTGTGATCTTGGACGAGTCACCCAAACTCTCTGGGTCTCAGTTTGCTCATCTATAAAATAAGGGGGTTGAATAGGGTAACCATAACTATATATGCTATTTATAACCATAATAGCTAAGTTATTCAAGACCTCCTTTGTAACAGCAAATGTTTCAAGTACTTCTTCCCTCTGCTAAAAGAATCTTTGGAGAAAATTTTTTAGAAATTAGAAATTTAATAAAAGTACATAACAAAGATATTCCCTTCTTGTATATCACAGTCATACTCATTTTCTATCCCCCTTCTGTTAATCTGGGCAGTTTATATTTTTTTAAATATTCATCTGATTCACTTAGATTGTCAGCTGTACTGTCATATAATTGGGCAGAATAACTCCTAATAATTGCTCTAATTTCATATTCAAGGTTGTGCATTCACTCTTTTTGTTTTTGATCTGAGGCCACGTGCAGTCGTCCT